TTCACCCACAGGTTGGTTAGATTCAGCTGGCTAGTGCGCATGTGCGTGGACTGCGCGAATCTCAGTGGAAACCTAGGCGATACTTGGGCCATATATCCTTTGCTTTTCCTACCCGTTTAGCAGTGATAAAAGTTGTATCTCCGCGACTATCACACTTACAGATTCTAAACATCTCTGTCGTTTCTGTATCCACATATATAACTGAATACTCTTTCCTTGTCATATATGTGTGTATGTATGTCATATACATATGTATATATATCTTATTATTTACAAAATTTTTACTCCCGATTTAATTTTCCCGCTTCTCTATATTTCTTTAAATTCTGACCTCTATTTCTGAGCTCTCTTTATTCACCTTTCTACCTGTGGTGCAATTTTCTCTCGCGGGTTCCTCACGTTCTCCTCCGTATGTTTGGTCACTCCTTCCGTGTTCTGGTGCATGAATCAATCCCACATCCGGGCATTATATGTCATGGTCCGGGACGAGCACAGACCATAAATTATTTCTCGAACCAACGTGGAGGTGTGGGAATAGAGACACAACTCACGTGACTTTATCAGGAGGGAGTTTTCAGGGATCCCTCATGGAATCCTGAGTTTACATCCTGAAAATTCCTCACGTTCATTCTCCAAACAGCTTTTATACCAAAACGTAAACTGAGGGGGAAGTTCATTAGCATTCTGTTTCCTACGTAACCAGGAGAATGACTGTGGTCACGGCCACACCTTTCTATGCCCATTTTGTTGTCTTCCTACCTATGCCTGCTCTGTCAGGTAGCCTAAATTAACACCTCTTTCCCAGGCGACCTCCAAATTATGAAGGAGCAGAGCGACATTAGCAGATCCTGACCCTTTGTTTAGGATGGCATTAGTTTGTCTCGGTGACCACCTTCTGTGTGGCAGGTGTGAACTGTGGCCTGAGTCTGACCACCATACACTGTAGAAATATGGGCCTGTATAATATGGCTCTACAGTGGCACACACCTTTAATCCCAGCACTCGGGAGGCAGAGCAGGTGGATCTCTGTGAGTTCGAGACCAGCCTGGTCTACAGAGCGAGTTCTAGGACAGGCTCCAAAGCTACAGAGAAACCCTGTCTCCAAAAACTAAACAATTAATTAATTAACTGTGCATAGCTGCTCTTGCAGAGGACCCAGGTTCAGTTCCCAGCACCTGCATGGCAGTCCACACTCACAAATGTCTGTGACTCCAGTTCCAGGGGATCTGATGCCGTTCTGTCCTGCGCAGGCATCAGGCACACATGTAGCGCACACACATACATGCAGGTAAAACACTCATAGTCAGGGTCCAGTGCTAGCCCGGAACATAAATTATTTCTCTGGACCAGACCCCAACATAAACTATCTCTCTCTGGAGCTGCGTGGAGGCGCGGGAATCAAGACACAACTCACATGGCTTTATCGGGAGAGAGATTCTCAGTGGTCCCTCATGAAATCCTGAGTTCACATCCTGAAGAATTCCCCTGCTTTATTCTCCAATCAGCCTTATATATCAAAACATGAACTGAGGGGGGAAATTTCATTAGCACTCTGTTTCCTAGGAAACCAGGTGAATGGCTTTTAGTCACGTCCACATCTACCTATGCTTCCTCTCCTGTTTTTCTGCTCTGTGTGCTAGCTCAGTCACGTAGGCTGAATTAGCATCTCTATTCAGGCATCCTCCAAATTACAGAGAAGGAGCAGAGCAACATCGTGACCTTTTGTTAGGGTAGCGAGCGACAGCCTGTCTGGAAGGTCACATGACCACTTCAGGTGTTAATTGTGGCTTGAGAGCCTGACTGTCCCACCATGTAGAAATCTAGGCCTGCAACTCAGAAGCATAAACTTAAGAAAAGAAAAGAATGACTGTTGGGGCTGCCAGCTCAGCTGGTAGGAACATTCACTGCTCAGTCATGAGGATCAGTTTGCGTTCGCACTCAGGTGGGGCAGCCCACAACCACCTGTGACTCTGGCTCCAGGGGATCCTGTCCCCATTTCTGGTCTCCAAGGTCACCCCATGCATGTATGCATACACATGCACATAGAAACATCAGCACACACGTATGCATGAAAACTAGCATCTGTGTTTAAAAAGAAGGTGGTGAGCCGGGTGTGGCGGTGCTGCCTTTAATCCCAGCACTCGGGAGGCAGAGGCAGGCGGATCTCAGAGTTCGAGGCCAGCCTGGTCTACAGAGCTAGTGCCAGCCAAGACATGCTCCAAAGCTACACAGAGAAACCCTGTCTCGAGAAAAAAACAACGAAAACGTGGTTGACTTTGTCAAAGGCCTCTTCTTCAGGTTATGAGCATGTTGTACTTGGTACACACCTGTAATCCCAACACAGGGGAGACAGAGGCTGGAAGATGATAAATTGGAGGCCAACTTGTATTATAGTAGCAAGACTCTGTCACAAAACCCAGAATCTGCTGGGCAGTGGTGGGGCACACGCCTTTATTCCCAGTACTCAGGAGGCAGAGGCAGACAGGTCTCTGTGAGTTCATGAGTTTGAGGCCAGCCTGGTCTCCAAAGGGAGTTCCAGGACAGCCAGGGCTATGCAGAGAAACCCTTCTCGGGGGAAAAAGAAATCAAAACAATCTCTGAGAGTGATCCTGGGTTATGTCCAATATCCACGATGAATTGTGAAATCATGTCAAGAATAACTAATACTGCATCACCTTCATGTCTTTCAAGTTTACTAGGAAACGTGTGTGTGTGTGTGTGTGTGTGTGTGTGTGTGTGAAAGAGAGAGAGAGGTAGGGAGGGAGGGATAGACTCACTGTGTAGCCATGGCTGGCCCGGAACTCGTAGAGTTCCTCCTTCCTCAGCCTCTCGAGTGCTGCTGAGTCCAGAGCATCACCACTATCTCTGCTCCCAGTCAGTGTGTGTGCACATGCCACAGGTGTGCCACAGGTGTGCCACAGGTGTGCCACAGGTGTGCCACAGGTACCGTAGGGTCAGCGGACAACTTGCAGGAGTTGGCTTTTCTTCCACCATGTAAGTCCCAGGTTCATCACTCAAGATGTCACCTTTACCTACCGAGGCATCTCCTGCCCCCCCTCCTTTTATTTACTTTGAGACAGGGCTTTACTAAGTTGCCCAGGCTAGCCTTGAACTCAACCCTGTAGCCCAAGCTGACCTTGAATCTCATCTTCCCACTTCAGGGACCTAAGTAGCTGCAATTACAAGCTTGAGCCAAGGCCCAGCTGCCACAGTGTTGACAGGTTGGTGACATGGACTCTGGATTCATCAAAGGACAAGAAGGTAAGTACATAGTAGAACTGAATGACATGAAAAAGCTGCATTCCAGACAGAAACTGGGCCATTCGAGGGTGACTGGATGCAAATGGCTCTCACGTACTTCAGGCAGGTTTTCATATAGCCCGGGCTGGCCTCGAACCTGCCATGCAGCTAAGAAGGACTCTTCCTGCCTCCACCTCCCAAACACTGGGACTCCAGAGACAGCTCTCTCGGCAGTTGCAACCAAAGGAGAGCTTCCAGACAACAGCGTATCACATGCAAGTCAATGAAGTGCCGCCGACCGCTGAAAAGAGGCCACACGGAAGTACCAAGGGGACAGCCGCAAAAACCGTGAGGGGAGAAGAAAATGAAGGCCTTTCCTGAGAATCAAGAAAGCTACACAAGGGGGCTGGAGAGGTAGTTCAGCGGTTAAGAGCACTGGCTGCCCTTCCAGAGGTCCTGAGTTCAATTCCCAGCAACCACATGGTAGCTCACAACCATCTGTAATGAGATCTGATGCCCCCTTCTGGAGTGCAGGCAATGCAGGCAGAACACTGTATACATAATAAATAAACTTTAAAAAAATAAAAACTATACCAATAGACCAGCAAGATGGATCCCTGGGTGGAAATGCCTGCTACCAAGCCTAGCAACCTGAGTTCAGTTCCACATAAGACAGAACTGCCTCCTGAAAACTAGGTTGATCTCCACACACAAGCCATGGATTGCACGTGTGTGCACACACAACTGAGACAAGTGGGCACAGGAGCCAGAGAATGGTGCAGTAGGTAAAGGGCTTGTCAAGCAAGACCAGGAACCTGAGATCAATGCTCTGATTCCATGTAAGCGTGGAAAGAGAGAACCAGCTCTAAAAAGTTGACCTTGGCTTCCATAGGCACCCAGTTCCAGCTTACACATACAAAAATAAGCTGTAGATTAAGAGCACTTTTTCTTTTTTTCTTTTTTTTTTTTTCTGGTTTTTTCGAGACAGGGTTTCTCTGTAGCTTTGGAGCCTGTCCTGGAACTAGCTCTTGTAGACCAGGCTGGTCTCGAACTCACAGAGATCCGCCTGCCTCTGCCTCCCGAGTGCTGGGATTAAAGGCGTGCGCCACCACCGCCCGGCAAGAGCACTTTTTCTTGCAGAAGATCCAGGTTCAACTCCCAGCACCATCTTGTAACTCCATTTCCGGGGGATCAGATGCCCTCTTCTGACCTCCGTGGAACCCAGGCAAACGAATGGTGTACATATACAGATATGTAGCAAAACACCCATACACATCTTTTAAAGCAAGAGAAATTAGCCAGGCCTGGTGGCGAAGGTCTTTAATTCCGGCTTTCTGGAGGCAGAAGCAGGCAGATCTCTGATCATCTATATGATTTCCCGGCCAGCCACGGCTACCTAGTGAGACGCTGTCTCAAACAAAACAAAATTAGTAAAATTTAAAGTATGTGATGGAGCCGGGCAGTGGTGGCGCATGCCTTTAATCCCAGCACTCAGGAGGCAGAGGCAGGCGGATCTCTGTGAGTTCGAGGCCAGCCTGGTTTACAAGAACTAGTTCCAGGACAGGCCCCAAAGCTACAGAGAAACCCAGTCTCGAAAAACCAAAAAAGTATGTGATGGAACCCTTTGGTTGAGAGCTGGAGGCGGACGCGGCGGCAATAGCAGACGGCACCGCTAGAGGACGATAGAGGTCCAAGCACGGTGCTTGCGCATGCACACCGTTTTCCAGCGCGCGGAGGGCCGCGCATGCGCATGGCTTCACTGCCGCTGGAGCGGATGTCGAGCGCTCCTGAGCTCAGCGCTCTCTGGTGACCCTAACGGAGTCCACGGTCGGCGATGTCCGAGCTGCCCGGAGAGAGCATGGTCCCCGACCTGAGCCCCATGACTGGCATCGGCAACGTTCTGCAGGGGGTCGTGGGCGGAGGCAGTCGGGTCCCCGGGGCCCCGGAAGATCCGCTGGCCGGAGCCGCCGGGTCTATGCCGTGGGCCGCGGGCCCGCTTCCCAGGCGACTCCCCGGCGTGGCGGGCCTGATGGCCATGCCGCACGTCCACGCGCCGCTGCGCCTTCTAGAGCTGCACGAACAGCGGATGTTCCAACACTACCTGCACACCAACCCCCTGATCCCCACCCGGCTGCTCCGCGACATCGAGGAGCGTCGCCGGCTGTTCGTGGAGGGCTGCAGAGCCAGGGAGGCGGCCTTCGACGCCAACCCCCCGCAGATGGACTCGGACGCCCGCGCCTTTACGATGGCGCTCACCGCCACCGACGCCCGCGGCCCCACCGCCGACTGAGTGGCGGTGTTCGCCTCTAATCCCAGCCCTCGGGAGGGAAGAGGCTAGAGGATTTAGGGTTCAAGGTCATCCTTGGCTACTTGGCGAGTTGGAGGCCAACCTGGGCCACAGGAGACTCTGTCTTTAAAAAATAAAAGATTGGTGGCCAGGTGACTCTTAGGGTCAAGGGTAAAGGCAGAAGTCTGGGCAAATGTCATGAGGTGGGAAATTCACTCAGAGTGCAGCGATGAGCGCAGTGGAATGAAGCAGGACCAGAGAGAGGTGGACACTCGAAGCTAGCTGGCAGAGGCCCCTTCCGACTTCCGCCTTGTGATCATTAGCTATCGCTCACTACCCTCCACCCTCACCCCCTGGAATTTGTGGAAACTCAAGGTTGCTTCACTGTATCACTGTATAGGACGGTGGTTTTGTAAAGATGAAGTCTAAGAATTACCAATGGGGGAAAAACACAAAGAAATCAACCGAGATGCGGGGAGAAAGCAGGGAGACTGGTTCTTAGACACAGTTGCTCCTGGATTTTACTGGCATCAGAAGACTGTTGAGACAACCTGGACCTTTCAGAATTGAGGCGTCATCTCATCGTCAGCTGACAAGCCCAATGTGCTGTTAATTCTTGTGTTTGATGTTCTAGACAAGTTGTAAATACTCAGATAGGGGGAAATCGTGTGTGTTTGTGAGACCATGTGTAATTGTATCCTTGTGGGAGTAGATTTAATATTTAAATGATAAATGTACAATCAAGAGACTCAAAAGTAGCAAAAGATGCTATGGGAAGTTAAACTTTTCTCTCTGCCAAACTGAAAACTGTCCGAGCAAGGATCCATAGTCATTTGGGGTGGGGGTGGGGAGGTTGGTTGTAGGGTTTTAAAAACCGATTTCCAGTGCATATACGAGTTGAGACAGTAGTACTCCCCCGTGCTGAGTGCTGAGGACGGAACCCGGAGCCTTGCACACATACCACCTTGTTGTGCAGCGGCCTTCCCAGTCCTTTTCAGTTATACAAGGCTGGCGAGATGGCTCAGGGGTTTGAGGTGTTTGCTGCTGAGCTCTGTTACTGCATTTGATCCCGGGACCCTCCTGTTTCTTCTGACCATACACATGCAATGTAAAAAAAAAAAAAAAAAAAAAAAAAACCTCGATAGTAGGTACCTATATCAGTATCTTCACTTTTTATATTTTCAGTTATATTGGAAGTAATTTTATATTTTTTTCTTTTTTATTGACTGCTACTTAAGGCTTGTATCTTAACATATATAATGAACTAGTCTTCTGGACATCTGAACTGTTTGAAAATTCTTTTTTTTGTTTTAAAGATTTATGTGTGCATGTGTGAGCTCACATGAGTACCTGTGTATCATATGGGTGCAAGAGACTGAGGGGCTAGAAGAGGGTGTGGGAACCCCAGAACTAGCATTCCAGGCAGCTGGAAGCCCCCGTGTGGGTGCTGAGAACTGAAACCACTCCACTGAGCCATCTCTCCAGTCTGGGTCTCTCTGTTTGGTCCTGGCTGACCTAGAATTTGCTACGTGGTAGACCAGGTTGACCTTGGCCTCAAAAGATCTCTTGCCTCTGCCTCGTGCCTAGCGTTTTGTGTGTATGGTTTTTGGTTTTGGTTTTTTGAGACGGGGTTTTACAGGACTGGGGCTGATCGTGAAGCCCTGATCCACCCACCCCCCCAAGCTGTGGGACTAAAGGTGTGTGTCACCATGCCTAGCATTGTTTTGTAATGTTCTGTGCGTGTGTGCTTGCTCTTTACATAGAGAAAACTTAAGAATGGAAGCAGGCAAAGGGAAGGAGTGTTGGTATTTCTCAGAGGTATTGCCAGCCCCTTTGGGCCTCTGATAACTTCTATTTGCCCAGGAACTCGTGTGCATCCTTCTCGATACTCAGCCCAGTCCTTCAGACTCGGCTCTGTCAACTGTGTCTCGATACTCAGCCCAATCCTTCAGACTCGGCTCTGTCAGCTGTGTTTGCATTTCTGCGTATGAGGGGGACTGCTTTCCGTGTGCAATGGCCATTTTCTGTGAAACACTTGTCCGTCCGTAGCCTGTCACCAAACCGTCCTAGAAGGGTGTGATGGCACACACCCGGACAAGAAGGTCCAGCTGTGATAGCGCACACCTTTAATCGCTGCATTCAGGACAGCAGCAAACACATCTCTGTGAGTTCGAGGCCAGCCTGATTTATAATTAAGTCCCAGGACAGCCAGGAACACAGAGTGAGATCCTCAAACAATAAAAGATCTAGATTCTCAAGTTGAGACCAGCCTGGGCACACAGGGTTGGCAAGATTGCTCAGTGGGTAAACAGCTTGCCAGGAAGTCCGGTGATCCCTGAAACCAAATGAAGCTGTGGGGACAGACCCCTCCAAAGGTGTCCTCTGACCTACCCCTGGCCCATTACCACACAATAAATTTTTAACAAGTTACCCCTTTCCATGCAAAACGGATGGTTTCTGTGCTGACCACACTGACCCTTCTGCCCTGCAGGCAGGTGTTTATGGCTGCACGTGCTCAACCACCTTCCGTTATGGTTTCCAGACTGACTCACAATGGCTTTCCACATGTGGCCAAGTGTAGCAGTCACCTCAGAAAGCTGGGACAGGATGACTGAGTTTGAGGCTGCCCTGGCACCACACTGTGAGTGATGAATGTGGATTGGCTGGAATACTGGCATTGCTCTCTGTGTATCTGGGACACTTCCAGCTCTAGGAGAACTCTTCTCCAGATCTTCTGTCTCTTCCTTTTCTATTTGGTTTTTCAAGACAGGGTTTCTCTGTGCATCTGACTGTCCTGGGACTTGCTCTGTAGACAGCTGGCCTTGAACTAAGAGATCCACCTACCCTACCTCTGCCTCCCAAGTGCTGGAATTAACAGCATGGGTCACCACTGCCTGGCCCATTTCAATTCTTTTTATTAATTTTTTTAATCTATTTTACATACCAGCCAGTTTCCCCTCCCTCCTCTCCTCCCCTCCCCCCTCTTCCTTTCTACTCCCCTTCTCCTCTCCTCAGGAAGGGTAAGGCCTCCCATGGGAGTCAACAAGGCATGACATACTAAGTTGAGGCAGGACCAAGCTCCTCCGCACTGCATCAAGACTGGGCGAGGCATCCCGGCATCGGAAATAGGTTCCAAAACCCAATTCATGCTCCAGGGACCCTCCCCCACCCATTTCAACTCTTAACTATGTCAATATGATCTAAAGTTTTCCAAATATGTCTTAAGTTAGACTGTTGGAAAGGAAACCATGACAAAAGTAACAAGATGGCTTTGCTAGTGTGAGGAGCCAGGGCTGACCCACCAGGAACAACTGGTCTAGCCTAGACCAAGGAGACTGTATGAGTCATATTCCTGTCACTGGCATGCAATACTTGAGACAATTGATTTCCAAGGAGGAAAGGGTAATTCTGGCTCACAGTTTCAAAGACCTCAGTCCACGGCCAGTGTCAGTCAGTCCACGGCCAGTGTCAGTCAGTCCACGGCCAGTGTCAGTCAGTCCACGGCCAGTGTCAGTCAGTCCACGGCCAGTGTCAGTCAGTCCACGGCCAGCGTCAGTCCACGGCCAGCCTCAGTCCACGGTCAGCCTCAGTCCACGGTCAGCCTCAGTCCACGGTCAGCCTCAGTCCACGGTCAGCCTCAGTCCACGGTCAGCCTCAGTCCACGGTCAGCCTCAGTCCACGGTCAGCCTCAGTCCACGGTCAGCGTCAGTCCACGGTCAGCCTCAGTCCACGGTCAGCCAAAGTCCACGGTCAGCCTCAGTCCACAGTCAGCCTCAGTCCACGGTCAGCGTCAGTCCACAGTCAGCCTCAGTCCACGGTCAGAGTCAGTCCACGGTCAACGTCAGTCCACGGTCAGAGTCAGGCCATGGTCAGAGTTAGTCCACAGTCAGCGTCAGTCCACGGTCAACGTCAGTCCACGGTCAGAGTCAGGCCATGGTCAGAGTTAGTCCACAGTCAGCGTGGCCTTTACCTGGGCTGTGGCGACATGACACATGATGGCTCACCTCATGGTGGCAGGAAAGCAAGGAGAGAAAGGAAAGGTCTGGAGTCCCAATATCCCCTTCTGGAACTCACATCCAACAGCCTAACTTCCTCCCACTAGGGCCTCACCTCGTAACGTCTACACACACACACACACACACACACACACACACACGCACGCGCGCGCATGTGCACGCATGCACCACAAGCAGCAGCCCAGCCTGGGGACCAAGCCTTCGCGTGAACCTTCCCATCCTTCCTCCCATGCTCTGTGGTGGACCAATGGGGGAGATGCTAAGAGCACAGTAGCAGGTGACTGGCACAGACCTCAGGTGGAGCATGGTGACAATGGACATTGTCAGAGGCCAACACAGGGAAACAGATTATATTCTCTTTACTTTCCCCAACCCCGCCTAAGCCCCAGCCACCATCAGAAAAGGACCTGGTTTGGGAGCATTTCAGCCCTTCTCATCATCCCGCTGAGGTTCCTGAGATGGGAAGAAAAACAAAACAGTAAAATTCCCCATACAATATAAGTGTTTCAGTAAGGCTTAGTGTTCTAAGGCAGTCTGTGGATGGCGTTACTGAGTCCATATATATAGTTCATATATGTAGTTCTCTATATATATATACACTTATATATGTATATAGAGAGAGTCTGTATGTGTATAGGTATATTATAGGCCATATATGTGTGTGATCAGTATATATATAGTCCATATACAAGTGTGTATGTATATAGTACAGATGAACTCGGGTCACAGAACCTCCTCCCTCCACCTCCCCAGCACAGGCCTGCACTACCTTTATATGGTGCTGGGGATCAAATCCATGGCTTTGTGCACACTAGGCAAGCAGTCTACGAGTGAGCTACATCAACAGCCCTTTTGTAGTTGGCATGTTGGTGTATGTGTGCCTGTGTATGGGTACACGTGCTGTGTGCCTGTGCACATACATATAGAGGCCAGAGGACGATGTCAAATCTCTTTTCTCTCACTCTTCCTTATTTTTGTTCAGATTCACTTATTTTTTTATATGTATGTTTCCTGGTACATATGTTTGTGCACCATATGCATGCCTAGCACCTGGAGAAGCCAGAAGAAGATGCTGGATCCCCTGGAACTGGAGTTACAGATGGTTGTGAGCCACCAGTGTGGGTGCTGGGGAGAAACTGGGTCCTCCACAAGAACCACCCAGTGCTTAACCCCTGAGCCATCTCTCCAGCCCCCACCCTCACCCTATTTTTTTGTTTTTGTTTTTGTTTTTGGAGACAAGGTTTCTCTGTAGCTTTGGAGCCTGTCCTGGAACTCACTCTGTAGACCAGGCTGGCCTCTAACTCACAGAGATCCACTTGCCTCTGCCTCCCAAGTGCTGGGATTAAAGACATGTGCTACCACCACCTGGCATGGAATATTATTTTAACTGGGTAAATATGTGTTCCATTTGTTTATGCTACAGAATATAACTTTGACTATGTGAAAGTGTGTTACATTTGTTTAGCATTTCTTTCCCCTTGCCTGCCTAAGACACCTGGTTGGTCTAATAAAATGGCCAATTGCTAGGCAGGCAGAGGAAGGATAGACCAGGCTGGGAGGCAGAGAGAATAAATAGGAAAATCTAGGCTCAGAGGAGGAGGAAAGAATGAGGGAGATTACCCATCACTCTGGGAGTCCTCTCGTGGAACTGTCTCCATGATCTCATTGACAAGCCAAGCTTAGTGTTGCTGGACTGTCACCCAAGCTAATGGTAAGGGGGCAGGATTGCAAACCCAAGAGTAGCCTGGGTAATTTGAGGAGGAACCTATCTCAAAATAAGAAAGGGGAAAAAAGGGCGGTGATGGCACATGCCTTTAACCCCAGCACTCAGGAGGCAGAGGCAGGTGGATCTCTGTGAGTGCGAGGCCTGCTTGGTCTACAGAGTGAGTTCCAAGACGGGCTCCAAAGCCACAGAGAAACAAAGGGAGAGGGGCAATGGCTGCAGCTCCGTGGTATAGCACTCGCCTCGGGTGTGAGGCCCAGGTCAGTCCCCAGCACTGAGGAGACAGGAAGAAGGAGGCAAAGAGGGGTGAGGGTGTGGTGCAGCCGGCAGAATGCTTGTCTACACACAGGGCCAGGGCTCTGGCTTCACTCCCCAACCTAAGGAACTGGGAGTGGCGGGCACACCTGTAATTCCCAGAAACAGGGAGACACAGGCTGTGGACCAGCAGCTGAAGGTCATTCTCAGCTTCAAAGCATTTGAGGCCATCCTGAGCTACATGATTCCCTGCCTCAAAAAAACTGGGGTGAGGGTGTCAAGAGTTGAAGGGCTGGAAGGGATAGCTCAGATCTGTAATCCCAAAACCTAAGAGGCTGAGGCAAGAGGATTGCTGGGAGTTCAAGGGCAGCCTGAGCTACACAGTGGCTTCTAGGACAGCCTGGGCTAAACAGACTGTCTCAAAGGGGGAATGGGAGGCTGACCACAATGCTCAACGAATAAAGGTGCTTGTTGCCAAGTTTGGTGACCTGAGTTCAATCCCCAGAAACCACACTGTGGAGGAAGAGAACCCACTCCTACACGATGTCCTCTGACCTCCACATCTATGCCTCGACATTCGTGTGCCCCCCAATGTAAAATAAAAAGAAGTGCTGCGCCGCGATTTTAGGGTGAGGGCCGGCAGAGCTGGAGCAGCCTGGTTGCTGCCCCCTGCTCTCACCTCCATGCCTCCCCCGGCCTCCAGTGCACCTCGCTCATCTTCACTACTGCTGCTACCTTTTCTTGATCTCCTCATCGATAATACCCATGAGTTTCTTCAGACCGGTTTCATCCACAAACCCATCGCCTTTCTGGGTGCAGAGGAGAAAGAGTCCAGATGGGATTCCAACCTCCCAGTACCCCCAACCCCATTCTCTGACCCTGTTCAGCCCCCTCGCCCAGAATCACCTTCTTGGAATGGACTAGCTTCCCGTCCACAAACACTTCAAACTCCCCTGTTTTCTCGGTAGCTCTTTCCTCCTCCTGGCGAGGAAATGTAGCGGTGGAGGAGGCTGAGAGGCTCCTCTGAACCATCAGGGTCTGCGAACCCTGACCACTCCCCAGGACCCCAGCACACTCTTGGCGAGGGAATGTAGCGAGGGGTGGAGGAGGCTGAGAGCTCCTCTGGTCAGGGGCCTGGGAACCCTGGCCACTCCTTCTCCCCAGGGCACCAGCACACTTACAAAGTCCAGAAGGTTTGGAAAGTGATGCTCCAGGGTCTTTTTCAGAAGAATGAACTGAGAGGGAAAAGATGAGGTCATGGGGTCATGGGGGTCACAGGATAGGAAACGGACCCCCTTCCAGTCTTCACATCGCATGTTCCCTTACGTTCTGAAGAAGAAAAGACTCACCCGAAGGCCATAGCTTCAGAGGCCACTGGAAGCAGAAGGAGGGGGAGGAGGAGAGAGATAAGGGAGACACCATAGCAGCAGTGAGCCTGAGTCAGACCCCGTCCCTGACCCGCCTATAGCATATCCCCCACCCACCCAGGTACCATCTCAGGGAAAAACCGCCATCCTCCTCCTAATCCCTGAGTGGCTATGTGACTGTCCCCACCCTCCTTCCCTTCTCCCCCACCTTGTCCAGCTACAGAACCCTTCTCATTGGGCTTTTTGCTTTGTTGTTTTGTTTTTCGAGACAGGGAGACATGGGAGAGAAGGGAGAGAGCTGGAGGGAGGCAAGCATGTCAAGAGGAGAATGAGACAATGAAACGCTGTGGGGCGGGAAGAGTCGAAATGAGCTGACAGGAAAGGCTGGCAGAGCCAGAGGAAGGAACAGGGCGTGGAGAGGCACTGGGAAGACCGCCCTGAGCAGGTCCTATTCAACCCAGTCCCAGGTCACTGCTTGAGCCTGAGGCAGCATCCAGACTCCCCAGTTCTTGCTTCCCAGCTGCCCCACTACTGCCTGGCCAGCTCGGGAACCAGCAGTAAGTGAGGGGGCTCAGCAGACCATGTCCAGCACCAGTGGACCAGGCAGGACCCTCAGAGTCCTGGGGATCAATAGATGAATAGATGAATGAAAATGAATGGATGAAGGAATTAATGAATGAGAACGCAGTTTAGAGCCAGCAACCATGCAAATGCTGGATGAATGAGAGTAGATAAATGAAGCTCAGTGCTACTACAAATCATAAGAATGGATGAATGGATGGGAGTGCAAGCCGGGCGGTGGTGGCACACACCTTTAATCCCAGCACTCGGGAGGCAGAGGCAGGCGGATCTCTGGGAGTTCGAGGCCAGCCTGGTCTACAAGAGCTAGTTCCAGGACAGGCTCCAAAGCTACAGTGAAACCCTGTCTCAAATAAATGAATAAATAGAATAGAATAGAATAAGAGTGCATGCAGTCAAATGAATCATAGGAAGGAAGGAACGAAGAAGCAGGCATGAAGTCGAGAGGGAGGACTCCTGCAGATCAAGGAATTCTTTTTTTTTTAAAGATTATTTATTTATTACATATACAGTATTCTGCCTGCATGTGTACCTGCACCCCAGAAGAGGGTACCAGATCTCATTACAGATGGTTGTGAGCCACCATGTGGTTGCTGGGAATTGAACTCAGGACCTCTAGAAGAAGAGTTAGTGCTCTTAACCACTGAACCATCCTTCCAGCCCCAGATCAAGGAATTCTGACTGCCAGGTGGGAAATGCCCAGCAGCGATTGGCTAAAGGAGAACGCATGCAGCTCAGAGTCACTCACACAAACGTTTGAAGGAATAGGAGAGAAGGAATGAAGCCCAAAGACAGTAAACATGCAAATGAGAGAGAATGAGTGAACGAATCCCAGGAGCTGTGTGGGCGTGAATAAGGCAGCTGAGAGCCAGGGTGGGGAACTGAACAAAGCCTTCTAACCTCAAAGGGACAGACAGGTGGAAGTCAGAACTGCGAATCTGCCTCCCTGCCTAGGGCACACCTGGCCTGCACATACATGCCCAGAGCCCAGCAGCTGCCCGCTTCAGCTGTCACGGGTCGGGGGAGCCGCTCACCAGTAAGTCACACGAATCAAAATTCTGTTGGCCGCTGGGGAGTTGTCGCTGGTCGAGGGGACCGCCTTGGTGGAGATGAAGCTGGGTGATGGGGAAATTGTGGGGATCCGACCCAGAGCAGGGTCCTCCTTTAGCTGGGTGGTAAAGAACTGTAGTGCAGAGATGGGGCCCGGAGTGGGGCCCGATGTACTGGAGGCCTTGGCGTCTAACTGATGGGTGGAGCCCAGTGTCTTGGAGGCCACGGCAGTGAGCACCGGAAAGGGATCCTGGATGCCCTCCGCTGGGATGTGGGTCGAGGATTCCTCCTTTTGAGTGAGTGTGGGACCCTTCGAGAGGGAGCTCTCATGCCTGGAAGAAGAGGGCTGAACCACGGGTGAGGCCGAGTTCGGCAAGGACTCCCGGGCTAGTTTGGGAGCTCTGACAGGTGCTGGGGGTCGCACCGGTGCTGGGGGTCGCACCGGTGCTGGGGGTCGCACCGGTGCTGGGGTTCGCACTGGTGCTGGGGTCGGCACCGGTGCTGGGGACCGGGCTGGAGCATGAGTTGGAGCTGGGGTTGGAAACCGGATTGGAGGAGGGGTCGGGACCTGGGCAGGAACTCGGACCGGGGTGGAGGTTCGGATCGGACTCGGATTGTGGGCCATGGTCGAGACCGGGGCCCGGGTGGAAGTTCGGACCGGAGTCGAGTTATGAGCCGGGTTCGAGACTCTGACTGGGGTAGCGGTTCGGATGGGAGTCGGTGTCCGGGAAGGGGTGTTGGCCCGGGCTGGGGAGGGAGCGGGCTTCCGCGCCTGGTTATTCATGGTGACCAGGTGAGACCCGGGTACCCTAAGCTGAGAGTCCCGCTTTGCCCTGATCCTTGAACGGGAAGAACATTCGCACCCCAGGGTTCTAAAACGGAAGCAACCACAAGCAGGAACCGTTACACACCGGTTTCCAGTCAGACACAGGGCTCTGGGTCTGAGAGGCGGTTCTGCCTCCCGATCTCTCCGAACAGGCCCCGCCCCTGCTCGGTTCCCAGCACCTGCGGACACACACACACACACACACACACACACACACACACCCCGCCGCCGGAGCTTGGCTCCGCTGACTTTCCTGCGTTTAGCCGCTACGACCTTTAAGTGTTAAGTGCCCCCTTTGCGCTGGGGATTCCCAGCACCGAGCATCTCCGCCAACCCTGCTTCCAGCCCAAGATAGGAGCCACACCCAGTATCAAAGAGTGACAGCCTAAAGCCTGCAGAGCAGGGGAGGAGGTTAACAAGATCACGATCCCAGAGAGGAAGCACAGGTCTACAGGATCAGAGAGGATCTCTGAAGACAGGTTACAGCTCCAAGATCCGGAGAGAAATAGCAACGCCCCACACAAACAATGCAATTTACACAGAACCAGGAGCAGCCACCATTCTCACACCAGGTCGTGGATGCCCAAGTCCTGTGTTTTCAGCTCCCTGGGAAGGGTCCCTGAAAGTTGTCAAAGTGAGGACCTGTCTTCATGCTGTATCCCCAGCTCCTAGAACAAGACCTAGATCAATAAATGCTTGTGCAACCAGAGTTGGTGAGAATAAAAAAAAAGGTGGGAGGGAGCTTGCTGTGGTTGGGGGTTTGGTTTTGTTTTCACTCTCCGGGCCCTACTGCCCAGCTCTCCAAAAAATACAGAGACTTATTCTTTCTTATGAATGCTCAGCCTTAGCTTGGCTTGCTTCTAGCCAGCTTTTCTTTTTTTTTTTTTTTTTTTTTTTTTTTTTTTTTTTTGGTTTTTCGAGACAGGGTTTCTCTGTGGTTTTGGAGCCTGTCCTGGAACTAGCTCTTGTAGACCAGGCTGGTCTCGAACTCCCAGAGATCCGCCTGCCTCTGCCTCCCGAGTGCTGGGATTAAAGGCGTGCGCCACCACCGCCCGGCTTAGCCAGCTTTTCTTAAATTATCCCATTTCTCTTTAACTACGTTTTGCCTCTGGCTTTTTTTTTTTTTTACCTTTATTTATGTCTTTCCTTCTTACTCTGTGTAGCTGTGTGGCCCCTAGTATCCTCTCCTTCTCTCACTTCTCCCCCTTCTTTTTCTCCTCCTATTCATTCTCTCTGCCTTGCTATTGGCTGTTCAGCTCCTTATTAGACCAATAGGTGTTTTAGACAGGCAAAGTAACACAGCTTCACAGAGTTAAACAAATGCAACATAAAAAAATGCAATACATCTTCGCATCATTGAACAAATATTCCACAGCATAAAGAATGTAACACATCTTAAACTAATATTCCACAACCACTTGCAGGAAAAAAGGGGATGGGTTTGGGTTTTTGTAGGCGAAAACCAGAGGTGGCAGGGATTGGAGCCAGGGACAGTACAGTGTAAGCAAGAAAGACCTCACTCTGAGGCCGTGGGAATCACAGAAGAATGTTTTGATAGAGGATGTGGCCAGTTGGTAGAGTTTTCATAGCATTTACAATGTCCTGGGTTCAAGCCCTAGTCCTGGCTGTAGTCCCAGCACTCAGGGGCAAGCAAATCAAAAGTTCAAGGTCACTTTCAGGTACATATAAAAAACTCAGGATACATATCACCCTGTTGATACCCTAAAAGATGTCAGTCTTTGCCCTTGGCTTTGAGGCAGTATATCTAAGCCAGGGAACATAGTCCTGATAGGTGGGGGTAGAGTAGGGAACATGTACCAGACAGCCAATGATAATGTGGATGATGGTGAGAGCTTGGGCCACACTCTGTTAGCTCAGCCTTGGGAGGGCAATTAACCCGTGGCTGCCTGACCAGGATCCCTTGGAAGCTCTGGGCTCCAGGATGAAGGTGTGCTTCCCACTGTGCAGTATTCCATATCCATTATCACACCCGCAGTCCATGGATCCACCAGCGAGGGCACCCAGATGTTTGTGCTGGGAACTCAGCTGGATCCTGGCCCATACCCTTCTCCTAATTGGTTGAGTTTTATGTTTACTTTTTGTTTTGATTTGCTTTCTGTTGTCTTTGAGAAATATTCTTGCTATATACCTTAGGCTGGCCTTGAACTTATGATCCTCTTATCTCCACCTTTTTTTCCCCTTTGTCCTGAGACAGGAAACAGGGTCTCACTATTGTAGCCCTGGCTGGCCTGGAAATTGCTAAGACCAGAGAGGCCTTGAAAACACAGCGATCCACCTGCCTCTGCCTCCCAAGTGTTGGGATGAAAGCCTATGACCCAAAGCAGACTTCCTTGGCTGATTTCAATCTGTCCTTCCCTGTGCTGCACCATAACCATGAGCCTAACGTCTGGTAAACCTTTCTATCAAAGGGCCAAGGCTAGCCCAGAGTGGGCGCACATGCCTCTAATTCCCAGTATGCATGAACCAGAAGTCAGGAAGCTGCTGCAAATTTGATGCTAGTTTGGCTCACAATTCAGTGGTCCTCAATTTCCCTAATGCTGTGACCCTTCAGTACAGTTCCTCATGTGGTGACCCCAACCATAAAATTATTTCATTGCTACTTCATAGCCGTAATTTTGCTACTGTTATGGATTATAATGTAAATATCTGATATGCAGTATATTTGATGTGTGACCTTGAGAAAGGTTCATATGACCCCTAAGGGGGTCTTGACCCACACGTTGAGAAATGCTAGTTTACAGATTCCAAGCCATAGCATCCTGTCTCGATCTAAAAACAAAACAAAAAATAAGTCGCCCAGCATGGTGTCACATGCCTTTAATCCCAGTACTCAGAGGCAGAGGCAGGTGGACCTCTGAGTTCGAGGCCAGCCTGGTCTACAGGGCAAGTTCCAGGACAGCCAGCTGCTACACAGAGAAGCCCTGTCTGGAGAAAAAACAAAACAAGAAACAAAACCAAAGCAATTCTATTATTCTCCTTACGAGACATCTCTCTTCCTTAGTTCCAACATCAAAAACAAAGTTCTCAGCCTGACGTAGTAGATCGAAATAAGAGCCTTTATATAAATGCCTCTTGGGAGATGAGAAAAATTAGGTTATAAATAAGCATTATATACAACTTCCAACCGCAAAGTCCTCCCAAACACACTTTCCAGCCTCCAGTCAGTGTGTGTGTGAGTGGGGGTAGAGACTGGACACCACAAAACAAACAAAAACATTCGGGCTCCATCTCCAGGCGATGACAGAGAAGGGGCCGTATTATGCCTGAAAAGAAACAAAATGAGAAAGAAGCATTAGAAAAGACACATGGCAGGGGACAGCCTCCGAGCCAAGTGCCCAAGGCCTGGAGCATGAGAACCTGGGACTCAACTACCTCTCGAGCATAAATGGAAGGGGCCGGTATGACATAAATGGATCGAGAGTCTCCGTCTTCAGGGTGATTCCAGTCAGCAGAACTGTGGGAGGAGAGAAGGCAGGGACCACTCAGACCCCATGAGTTCTCTTTGTTTTCTGCACCCATTAAAGAGGGGAATCACAGATTGGCAAGGGGAAATTCTGCAATGACCCCATCAGAAGAAGACTAGAACATCGGGGTAAGAGGGTCCAATCGGGAAGATGCATCAAGGAATCAGGACAATAGAACTGGCCACAGTGACAAAGTTTGCCGTCCTCACCTGGGGCCGCCCCCAGCACCATCTTGTATCCTCAGATTGTTGAGTGCATCGGGCAGCGTGTGGACTGAAGGCTCCCGGGTCCCAGACAGCAAGCGAGTCCCCGGATCCCGGGCAGGGCTTCGGCGACACACATGGACAAGCAAGAGGGCGGCGCCGGCCAAGCCCGCAGCCACCAGCAGCCCCAAGGCAGGAGGCAGAAGGAAGCGCTGTGGGTCTGCCTGCCTCAGGCCCCGCGGGACCGTGGGCACCCCGTCCGCACCGTCGAGGCGCACCGAGAACTCGCATCTCACGCCCATGTAGCCGGGCGCGCAGGCGCAGACGAGGCCGGAGAAGTGGGCGTAGCAACGGCCTCCGTGTGCGCAGGGGCGAGAGGCGCAGGGGTCAGCGCGTTCCCGACAGTCGCGCCCGCCGAAGCCCAGTGCGCACGAGCAGCGCCGCGCGCCGCCGCCGCCGCCCTCCACGCACGTGCCGCCGTTGGCACAGGCGCGGCCTGCGCAGTCGTCCAGGTGGTGCTCGCAGCGCGGCCCCGCGAAGCCTGCGCGACAGCGGCAGCGCAGCGCGTGGCCCAGGTCCAGGCAGAGGCCACCTGCAGGGAAGCGGTGTCAGCGTCCGCGGGTCCCCTCCCGCCCTTCTGCTCTCTCTTTGACCAGACTTTGTAAGTTCCCGTCTCAAGAGCCACGTCCTTGAATCAACTGGCCTCAAATTTTGAACAGGTCTTAATATGTAGTTGGACAAATGCGGGGGTTACAGGTGCAGGCCACCAAGCAAGGTTGCCCAAGACTGCTTCTGCCTAGTCCTCACTCCTTCCTTTTCTCCCCTCTACCGCCTTCTTTTCCTTCAGGTCTCTGTCGGTTCATAGGCCCTTACCTTCGGTTCAGCCCAGAGCCACGGTGCCCTGAGCCTCTCTCTTGAGTTTAGTGGGCAAAGGAGGAGCCCCTGAGAGAAGGCAACTGGTGGTACTTGCCAAAGGGCAGAGTCTAGTCCTGTCCCTCCTGTCACTCATTCCAAAGGAAACAATGGATTTGAATATTAACTCAGGCTAACTTTGAACTTATGATCCTCTGACACAGCCTCTGGAGTGTTCAACTACGCAACCATGTGGACTGGCTCAGAGGTTAAGAACACCGACTGTTCTTCCAGAGGTCCTAAATCCAGTTCCCAGCAACCATACAGTGGCTCACAACTATCTATAATGAGGTCTGGTGCCCTCTTCTGGCATGGGTATACATAATACATAAATTTTTAAAAAGCAAAACAAAACTATGCAACCATGCTCAGCTGCAAACCGTATTTTGGCATCACCATATCTACCAGACTGTTTACATGTCATGGTCTCATTTAACCCTTTATTTGGTTTTGGGTTCTTCGAGATGGCCATGCAGTCCGTGCTGCATGGAGCTCGTTATATAGCCCAGAATAATCTTGAACTCGTGCTCCTCCCGCCTCTGCCTTCTTTCTAGAGTGCTAGAGTTATAGGCCCAACGCAGCCTCATCTAATCAGTAATACATCTGTCAAACCAGGGTTCTCTAGAATCTTCTGGTGGCTCCACCTCACTCAAAGGAAAAACAAGAGAGCACCTTCCCGCAGGGCGGTACCTCTAATCCCTGCATTTGGGAGGCAGAGGTAAGTGGATCTCTGTGAGTTCAAGGCCAGTCTGTTCCACAGAGCTAGTTCCAGGACAGCTAGGGCTACCCAGAGAAACCCTGTCTCGAAAAACCAAAAAGGGGGGGGGGGGGGCGAGAGAGAGAGCACCTTCCCATCAGATCCCCAGCCCCCCCCACCCCCCCGCCGTCATGTGCCGGACCTTATCTCTCCATACTCACACACTGCCCTCACTCCTGATCCACAACAAGCTAAGCACACCATCTATCCTATCAGCTCCAAAACCCGCAGGGGTTTGGCCTTCCCTCTCTGCTACATCCTCAATGCCTAAGTCAAGGCCTGACAGACAGTAAATTCTCAACAAATATATGAGCTGACCATTCTGCCCGCTGAAGAATGGACTAGGTAGAGGGAGAAGGGTCAGGTCCCGAGGACTTAGGGCCACATAGAGGCAGGATTCCCACCCCATCTGAGCCATGCAGAGACCCCACTCCGACCCCCTCCCCCAACTCTATATCCTCATCCCTCTCCACACCACTGGCCACTCTGGCTTCCCCACCTCACCATTCTGACATGGCTGCAGGCTACACCGGTCCACCCTCTTCTCACAGTTGGAGCCTTGGAAACCAGGCGGGCAATGACAGACATATGCAGAGTCAGGTTCTTCGCCACCAACACACAAGCCGCCATTGAAGCAGGGTCTATCTGCGCATGTCACCCCGCTCACCTCACATCGAAGCCCATAGAATCCCCGGGGACAGGTACATTCAAAGGAACCGGAGGTTTCCTGAAGGGAGAGAAGTTGGCTTTGGGCAGGAGGCTCCTTGGAGCCAAATCCCTTCCTTCTCCTTAACCACTGTGGGTGGCTCTTTGTCCAGCCCCAAGTCCCACGGTACAGGACGTCCCCACGAGTGCCGCTCGCATGCCCTTCAATCTACTCCATACTGTATTCTGCATGTGGAATCCCAGACTGTGGGAGGCTCTGGAAGCCCAGGAAGCAAGCTGTTCCCACCAGACCTGCGTCTACCACACAACACCCACCCGCTGTGGCCACTCATACACACACACACACACACACACACACACACACACACACACACCAGCTCTATGCCCACTTCCCCCATGAAAGGCAGGAGCCCAGGATGGCCTGGAACTCAGGATGCTCGGAGTCCCAACTGCTGGGATTACAAGGGTGAGCCTTCCCCTAGGAAGGCTTCTTTCCTGCCCCTCCTCGAAGACCAAACTCAGCACCCTCCATGTGCAAGGCAAGGATCAGAAACCGAGCTACAGTCCTCGTTTCCCCACAAGACTTCTTGGATTAAACTCTGGGCCTCTTGAATGTTAAAAAGGCACTTGACGACTCCTGAGCCAAGACCCCAAACCCGCACTGGTGGACAGTGGGCAACTGCGCTTCTGCTGAGTCACACCCCCAGCTCCTTATTGGAGGATTCTAGGCAGGCCTTCCTCTATTGGCCCACGCCTCCAGCCCCTCCTCGGGAAATTCTAGTGGCGATATCTCCAGCAATGAAGGCTCTTTGAGCTCCCTTCTCCCATTCTTTCTCTGTAATCTGAGTCTCGGTGTCTCACCTACAATCAGCATCAGAAAGCCCGCGGGATTCTACTCTCAAGGCATCCTCCTTCCCAGCTCTGTTCCTTTGCTCCCTCATGCTCTTTCCTAGCCTGCCATCTCTAGTTGCCGCCTATGGTCCAGCCTTGGGTAGTCCTCAGGATGAGCTGTCCGATGCCTCCACCCGCCATATGTGTCCCATGCCAAACCTTCAACTCACAGCGGCCCCACCGCGCTCCGTTATTGCCACTCACACACCTTGTTACACCACACTGCCCACGCTTTGCTCTTCAATAACATTCTCATACCCTAACCTACTTTAAGGTCTAAGATGCAGGCAAGACACCGCCAGGAAGGCTTCCCAGATTGCTGCTACCTGGCTGGGATTGCAACCTCGCAGGCTGCAATGTTACAGAGCCCAGAGAGGGGGAGATCTGTAAAAAGTTCTACTCCTGTCAGACATGGTGACACGTGATACGCACCTGTAATCCTAGCAATCAAGGTGCTAAGGCAGAAAAATTAGTTCTGGGCCAGCCTGAGCTACTCAAAGTTCTTGTCAGGGTTACATTGCTAGAACCTATCTCAAAGACATCGGTGTGGGTGGGTTTGCCAGAGGTGATAGCACACCCCTTTAACCCCAGTGCTCATTAGGCTCTCCATGAGTTCAAGACCTGCCAGGTCCACAAAGTGAGTTCCAGGCCAGCCAGTGAGACCCTGACTGGGAGGGGGCACTGAGGAGGTGGTTCAGGAGGTAAATGATTTCTGTGGCAACATGGGGACTTGAGGTCAGACCCCAAGCACCCACGTGAAAAGAGGACTTGGCGGCGCACATCTGTAATTCCAGCAGTACTGAAGGATAGAGACAGAAACCTGGCCCGGGCCCCCTCTGTGCTCACTGGGAGACCCTGTCTCAAGAAATTAAGTGGAGAGTGATAAAGATACTGGTCTTCATGCACATGTGCGCATGTACACACACACACACACACACACACACACACGGAGTTGTAAATCAAGATGAAGTCGGAAAGAGATACTGACGCTACAACTGCCCCCGTTGGCACATGGGTTCCCATCACAGGGCCCAGGTCCAGGTAAAAGGCACCCAGTGCTGGCAGGACCTGGGACCCTGGAGTTCAGGCAGCTGCTGGTGGAGACAGGGACAGTGCAGAGGGGTCCAGTCCAGCCCTCTAGGCAGTGGCATTCATCAGGCTCTTCACAATAGCCGTGCTCAGGGCTGCAGCCCTCTCGACATATGGCTGAGGAAGCAGAGGAGAGGTAGAGAGAACATGATGTGAATGCTAGAGCAGGCTGAGAACCAGGGCCCTCGGTTCCCTGAAGGATATGGATGAGATGTGGGAGGGGACTGGGATCCTCGCTTAAACAAGAAGGGCAGGAGAGAGTGCGGGCCACGCCACCCAGAGGGACTCACGTGGGGCTTCGCACTCTTCTGGAAAGGGCACACAGGGGAGCAGTCCCGGGGCACACCGCGAGGGGGCACTGCGCGAGCGGCACAGGCGCACGCAGGCGGCTCCTACAGCAGGGGGCTCGCAGCGTGCACGGTAGGAGAAGTGCAATTCCCATGCGCCAGCACGCTGCACATCACGGGCCCACGGACCCCCAGCTGCCAGGCGTCTGCGGCCGGCCACACGTGCTAGCAGGTTCCAGGCGGGTCCTGCGGAGAGAATGGAGGGCGCTGGGACTCAGAGAATACCCATCCTTCCTTGTCTAACCCTGGGAGTTCCTTGAGAGATGAAGGCTAGATGCTCTCCTTAGTAGGCATGCCTGCCCCCTTCCATAATGCACCCAGGAGCCTGCATGTCACACTTCATCTAGTGTCAGGATAACAAGTTTCTCAGAAACCAAATTACACCCATATTTGTCCCAGAATGCTTGAATATTAAAATAGGAGACTTTTAACATCTTGTAACATCAATAGCTAGGGACGCCTCCGGAAGTGAGGTCATAGCGCCCCTGCATGGTCTTCCAGTTTGTAGTGGTTCTGCTCACGCCTGTAATCCCAGTAGACGTCTCAAAAAGAGCAAAAGGTCGACCAGACGGATGGTCCAAGGCCTGGTATCAATAGAGTAACTTTATCTAGAAAGCTGGGAAGCGACAAGCCCGAAGCGGTGGCTCGTGTTATAACATCAGCACTAAGGAGGCTGAGGCAGGAAAACGGTGAATTCCAGGACAGCCTGGGATATACAGTGAGTTCAAGGTCTGTCTACATTATTCTAGAACCCATTTCAAGAAAAAGACTTAAAATTTAAGCCCAGCACAGTGGTGACAATTCCTGTAATCCTAGCACTTGGGAGGTTGATGGGGGGGGGGATTAATTCAAGACCACTTAGGTTATATGGCCATTTTGAGGCTGTCCTGGGCTAAAGGAGACATTTGTTTCAAATACAAAATCAGGGCCAAGTAGTGTGCCTAAAATTTACCAGTGAGGGGCTGGGGGCAAGGCTCAATGGTAAAATCCATGCCTAGCATACATTACAAAAAATAAGATCAAATAAATGGCCGGGCGGTGGTGGCGCATGCCTTTAATCCCAGCACTCAGGAGGCAGAGGCAGGTGGATCTCTGTGAGTTCAAGACCAGCCTGGTCTACAAGAGCTAGTTCTAGGACAGGCTCTAAAGCTACAGAGAAACCCTGTCTCAAAAAACAAAAAAAAAACAAAAAAAAACAAAAACAAAAACAACAACAAACAAAGAAAGAAAAAAGTTTAAATAAATGGATTTTGGAGCATTTTAGATGTCTCATTTTTGGATCAGAGATGCTCAACCTGTACCGTTGCTACCATTAGGACCCTTAAATAGATTTATTTAGTTTATGTGTATGAGTATTTTACCTGGACGCATGTAGGTGGCACAGGAAGAAAGCATTGGAGAATTAGAGACATGGATGTGAGGCACCGCGTGGATGCAGGGAACTGACTGAGCCCAGTCCTCCACGAGAGCAACAAGCACTACCAACCAGTGAGCCACCCTCCGGGACTCTTCTGTACCCAAACTGCCCACAGATTTAGAGCCACCATCCCAGCACCACATCTCAGGTCATCCCTATGATGACATCAGAGGCCTGGGAGTCCCATGAATGCTCCACCGTAGAGGCAGCCCATGTCTGTCCTGAACCCCACATTGCCCCAGCCTACCGAAGTTCCAAGATGCAAGACACTCACCTCCAGCCCGCTCTCCCAGCTGCTCTCTCCAAGTTTCAATGATGAGGGAGAAGGTGCCCTGGTTGGGTGGAAAAGAAAGAGGAGAAAGAATGGAGGCTAGTGGTCAGAGAAGTCTCTCATGAAGGCCAGAACACGGCATGGAGTCTGGAGGCCAGTTTTGGGCCTGAGTAAGGAACACTCCCAAAGGAGCACTCAAGAGAGCCAGCAACATTTTGGCCTCATTCCGGATACCTATTGAGTCCCTCAAAAAGGTCATTGTGCCAGGTGTGTTTTCACAAGCCTGTAACCCCAGCACTCGGGAGGCTGAGGTAGGAGGGTTTCGAGTTTGAGGTCAGGATGGAGTACCTAGCAAGACCCTGTACAAAAGGAAAGTACCGGGCTTCCCCCTCACAGGTGAGGAAATCGAGGATGGAAAAAGTGAAGCCCAAACTTGTGTAAATTCCAAATACGGGCCTGCTCCTTTCTGAGCTCTGCAAGCTGCACGGATGCCCGAGGACTCTGACCAGGACCCGGTAAGGCGGGTCCCAACCAGAACTGAAGTTGAAAACTGGAGAGATTAGGGGAGTCCAAGAAAGCACTTGAGGATCTCTGGATGCAAGGAGATCTAGAATGAAGACAAAGACACCCCCTCCCAACCCCAGCTTGCTGATTGCATGCCTATAATTCAGGAAGTGGAGGTGGAGTAGGAGGCAGAATTCAAGACCAGGTTCAGAAACACAGTGAGCTCAAAGACAGCCAGGATGAGGAGATAACACCAGATAATGATAGCCTGAAATGAGAGTTCAGTCCCTGGGTCTCACAGAACTGACCTGACTCCCACAGATTGTCTTCTGATATCCACATGTCACTGTGGCACATGTGTGTCCCCCTCCCCAACTAAATACATACATACATAACCACAGAAAGATGAGAATCCCAGCTTTTAGACATTCCCAAGGATGGGTGCTGAGGGTTCTGGGAACGTGGGTTCCAGGGGTAGTTAAGGTTGTGGGGCACGAGAAGGTGTCGGGAGCTGGGGATAGAAGGAGGGGAGGGCTGGGTAGCAGGGGTGGGCTCACCGGCCAGGCATCGCGGAACGGCACACGGACGAGGCCGTCGGGTAGCGGCAAGGCAGCAGCTGGCGCTCTGGGCTGCTCCGTGTAGACAGGACGAGTGCTCGGAGCTGCGCCTAGGGCGCACAGGGACTCGGCGGTCTCCTGGGAGGCTCCCGGCTTCAGGCAGACCCTGAAGAAGAGGCGGCAAGGGCCTCGGGCGTTGCAGGGGGACCTCGGGGCCCCGGGGCCTGGGCCCGGCCCAAAAGAAATAATCTGCAGCTCGAAGACACCGGCTGGCAGTGCCTAGGACGGAGAGGGCCACAGGGTTAGGGGACCTCGGAGACCTGGGCATCTGTCTGCCCAACGAAACCTCCCTAGGACCTCCAGGTCTCTGCCCGATCCCATCTGTCCCTTTCTTTTCTGTATCCCGCTGAGTCTGACCTGGGGAATGAGAAGAGCCAGGATAAATGTCTGGAGAAGCAGAGCCACCTGCAGGAAGACCATTGCTTTTGGGGACAGGGTTGGGGACAGCCTCGGGAGTCGCAGCTGCAGAATCCCGGAGCCTTATATCTGAGGGGACGCCCCGCCCCCTAAGCCAGCCCCTTGGCTCCCAGGGATCGAGGGGGAGAGGGTCTTAGGGGAAGGGACACAAGAACTCTATGTGGGCGGCTTGATGGGGTTCATCCTGAGCGTGACTGCGGGCGCCAATCTGAGAGCGACAGGAGTTGAAAGTGACAATCTGTGTGCCCAGCGAAGGCCTACTGGAAGACGAACTGACTTTGTGTGTTATGTGGCTCTGCGGTGTGGGGTGTTAACACGGATGCGAGGCTGTAACAGATTCTAAGATTCTGTGTCTTCCCAAGCGGGAGAACTGAAGTTCGGGTGACTTTACTATGTGGCTATGTGCAATCCTCTCTGTTCTGTAAGTGAACCTGTGAGGGCTGTGTATGCGTCTCCAGCTGGCTGTGCGTGAGGCTCTAAGTGTTTGGGAGGCCCACGGACGTAACCACCTGAGTTAATACGATGAAGATCCTGGATTCTTGGTGGAAGGCCCCACATATGCTTACATGAGTGTTTCCCCCTCAAAACAAAGCCTCTCTTCCCCAAATCCAGCATCACTAGACTCATCAGACGCCAGGCCAGGAGCCTCGCCTCGGAGGGGCCTCCCAGCTGTATGTAAATGTCGCCATCTGCCGGGCGGCCGCGCCCCTCCCCCTCGGGCCGCAGCTGGGCCTCCCGTTTGGGCTCAGGAAGGTGTGAGGGGCAAACGGGCAGGAAATGAGTCTTCAGGCACCAGGGGTCCGCTCTCCACCCCAGATAATGTAGCCCCCCCCCCGAGGGGGGTGGAGGAGGGAGGAGCCCTTTAGTATTCCAGGATCCAAGCAAATAAAATCACTTATGTGCAGATGCCCAGTCTCTAATCATTGTCTCTGCGGTGGGTGCTGAGCAAAGTTGCTTAAATGGAGGAAACCCATCACACACACACACACACACACACACACACACACACACACACACCGGTAAAGAATAAGTTAATACTCAGAGCTAATGATTTTAGGGAAAACACGAGTTACACCAATACCCACGTTTGTCTTACAGAGCGGAGGTAGTTATAGACCTGCTCAGTAATTATTTGGTAGAAAACGAGCCCTGGGTAGACATGGTGGGGCAGGTCTCTGATCCAAACACTGCAGGGCAGGACAATCAGGAGAAAGAGGCCAGCCTGGACTTCATGAAACCTTTCCCAAAATACATCACATACCACAAAAACCCACCCCACCTGAGCTTCACTCACAAGGCTGTGGGTTCAGTCAATCCCCAGCATCATAAACTCAACCACAAGGCAAGATAGTTTCCAGAACTCCACGGCACACTGGAAGCGGACTTTCCGGGGTTTCTGAAAGGCTTCTTGGCTGTTTAGGACTTTTCCTTCTGTAGACATAGAGGCCCTCTGAGGTGACATCTGTGTTAGGGTCTGAAGCCAATGCCTGCAGCACACCGGGACATCTGCTGTCTCATTGCATCCGAGGCTGTTCTCATGCACCTTCCCAAGAGGTCTTCCACGTTATCCAGCTAATCTAAACCAGCATCTTCTGATTAGTTTGGTGGCTTAGCTGAGGTGCTTGCCTCCAAGCCTGTTACCTGTGTTTTATCCCTGATCCACATGATGGAAGAACTGACCCCAAATGTGACGGCATGTACAGACACACCCTACCCCCATACAAATAAAAGTAATAATAGCATCTCCAAAGCCCCAAACCACTGCTTCTCTTCTGCATACCTGTTAAGCAAGCACTCTACAGCTGAGCTACACTCCCAGCCCTTCTCTATTTTGAGAAAGGGTCTTGCTAAGTTACCTAGGCTAGCCTGAACCTTCCCAGCCTCAGTTTGCTGCATAGCTAGACTTACAGGCTTGTGTGTTTAGCCTGCTCCCCTCCTTTTTAATTTAACTTGTATTTTAGGTATGAGTGTTCTACATGTATACCTACGTGTCAGAAGAGGGCATCAGATCCTATTATGATGGTTATGAACCATCATGTGGTTGCTGGGAATAAAACTCAGGACCTCTGGCAGGGTAGCCAGCGCTCTTACCGGCTGAGCCATCTCTCCAGCAGCCCCCACCCCGTCCCCTTTCGTCTTTCTTTAGGCTCCTGAGGATGGCCTCATCGCACCTTCCCCGAGGTAGCAGCACAGTGGGACTGTGCTTCCCATCACCGTTGTTCACTGCTGTCTTCCAGGAGCCTGGCAGTCGGGGCCAGCGAGTACTTAAGCAAATGAGTGCAATAAAACGGGAACTGACTTCCCAGAGGAGAAAGATGCTCAGGCCTTGCCCAAGGGTGGAACCTGGAAATCCAGATCCTATAACTGTGCGTGGGGGGGGGGGGGGGAGAAGGGACCTGGTTACACACAAATGACTCCAACAATAAAGCAGGCATTGGCCGGGCAGTGTTGCTGCATGCCTTTAATCCCAGCACTCGGGAGGCAGAGGTTAGCCTGGTCACAGAGCTAGTTCAAGACACCTAGAGCTGTTACAGAGAAACCCTGTCTTGACCCATCCCCAACCGCAAAAAAAAAGAAAAAAAACAAAACAAAAAAACCAAAGCAGTCCTCAAGCACAGGGCACTTGGAGTTAAAATTCCCAGGCCCCATCATATGGGCATTTTCTGAGGACTTCTGCACCTATGCCCAATTCTCTCCTCCATGTGAGTGGACAGGACACAGGGTCCAGGGCACCAAGGTGAAGGGAGAGATCTGAACGACCCACTGGATGCTGAAGCAGGCAGCACCCAAAGTACCAGAGCCCCGATCTCCAGGGCAACGGAGCAAACTTCTTCCTTATGCTGCAGGGAACAGACTCAAGTCACAGTTAAAGTCCATTCTAAAAGGGTGTGCAGCACCTGGCTGTAATCCTAGTACTCAAGGTCAAAACCAGTCCCAGCTCTACACCAAGAGTCCCTCAAAACAATGCCCTCATTAAAGGGTTCTGGGAGTTCCCTCCATGACAGCCCATCCCACCGAAGACCCTATCTCACACCACTTTGTCAAGCTTTGTCCCGCCACTGTTCCTTCAGACTCAGCCTCCAACTCAGGGCTCCAGATGCAAAAACAAGCATTCCTTAAAACAGAATCTTAGTCAGATGTGGCGGCACACACCTTTAACCACAGCACTCTGGAGGCAGAGGCAGGCTGTTCTTTATGAGGTGGTATCCAGTTTGGGCTACACAGTAAAGTTCCAGAGTGAAACCCTGTCTTAGGAAAAACAGAGGGAAGTATTCGGGACGTGATAGGGTACTCCTCTATTGCCCGGTTGCCCAAGCTGCGAATTCTGCTGTGAACTATAATTCTCTGAGTCTTGCTACATGACCAGTCATGCTTCAGACGTGGCCATTCTCCCGCCAGGTCTGAATCTTAAGTGCTGAAGTTACAGCCCTGTGGCACTACACCAACCCTTCCTACCAACAAGGACATTTTAAACAGCCACAGTGCAGCAGCTAAACTGGTCCATGGTTTCAAATTTGTGAAAGCATCATTATTATTGCAGCTGGGACAACACAGATGCTGGCTGGGGCAGAGAGCTTGGGTAAGAGACAAAATGGACACCTCACCCTACTTTAGACAGGAACAAACTAAGACAGAAGCACCTTGCCTAAGGTTTGTGTGGCCACTACACAAGGGCCTATCAATTTGGTAAGAGCTATTATTGGTGGGCTGGGGAGATGGTCAGCAGTTACGAACACTGGCTGCCTCACCAAGAGACCAGCATTCACAAGGCCTCTGGGAACCCCAGCGGACTCAATGTCTCTCTGGTTTCCATGGGCACCCTAAGTACATGGGGCGACAGAGTCCTCATACATAACAGAAAAAAGAACAAGTAGTGGGACTAGACAGATCAATCAGCAGTCAAGAGTATATACTGCTCTTCCAGAGGACCCAAATTCAGTTTCCAACACCATGCTGGGCAGCTTTCAACTGCTTGTGAAGCCCAGCTCCAAGGGCTTGGATGCACACTCTGGTCTCCACAGATGCATGTACTCATATGTGCACTCGTACACAAACACAATCAAAAATAAATCTTTCGGGGCTGGCGAGATGGCTCAGCGGTTAAGAGCATTGCCTGCTCTTCCAAAGGTCCTGAGTTCAATTCCCAGCAACCACATGGTGGCTCACAACCGTCTGTAATGAGATCTGGTGCCCTCTTCTGGCCTGCAGGCATATATACAGACAGAATATTGTATACATAATAAATAAATAAATATTTCAAAAAAAAAAAATCTTTCTTTCCGGAGACAGGGTCTCTCTGGGTAGCCCTGGCTGTCCTGGAACTCACTTTGTGGACCCGGCTGACCTGAAACTCAAGAGATCTATCTACCTGCCTTTGCCTCCCAAGAGCTGAGATTAAAGGCACCACCATGGCCCAGCTCAAAAATAAATCTTAAAAAGAACTATGAGTTTATAGATGCTGAAACTGACTTCCAGAGAGGCTAAGTAACTTGTTTGGAATCACAGCCAGCCAAGAAATGAATGAGCTTGGATCTGCACCCATAGCTGGAACTCATGACTACACACCACACAGCTATGCTGTTTAAAGCAGAAGCCAGTGGACTCACATGCTTATTAAAATGAAGAGGCTCGGGGGGGGCGCTCACTGTAGAGTGCTTGCTTAGCATGGAGTGGACTGGGTATGGTGGTGCACAGCTGTAATCTTGGCACTCACGTCGAGGGAAGATCGGGAGTTCAAGGTCATCCCTGGCTACATAGCCACTCCAAAACCACAGATGACCCTGTATTAAAGCAACAAGCCAAAATCCCACAAAAGAAAACAAAAAACATGGGCTGGAGAGGGGGTTCGAAAGTTAAGAGCACTGGCTGCTCTTCCAGGGGACCTGAGTTCAATTCCCAGCAACTACACGGTGGCTCACAACCATCTGTAATGAGATCTGGCGCCCTCTTCTGGCCTGCAGGCATGCATGCAGGCAGAATGCTGTATACATAATAAATAAGTAAATCTTAAAAAAAATAAATAAAAAAGAAAGAAAAACAAAACCACAACAGCTCAG